GTAGCAAAGTCTTGAGGCATGAGCTCAGCCTGCTCACTGCCTCACCAACAGGAAATTAGGTCCACTAGGCCAAAGGCTCTGTCCCCACAATGGGGCCCTACACACAGCGGTGTTCAACTGCACTCACTGTCTGCTGTCCCCAGCCCAGCCCAGCCCCTCTTTGGACAATGGGGCAGGACCCAGCCATGTGAATCTTCTCCCAGGAGTCAGGCTTCCTGGCAGCATAATGCCTCGCCTGCTGCCCTGCCTGGTCTTCAGAATGTACCCAGGTGGTCTGCAAATCATCACAGTTCAGGCCACACTCTGAATGAGATCACCATAGATATGGTCTCCTGTGTGTTTTGGGAAGACCCTGAGCACTAGATCCCCATGGATGGGCTCAGAGGCAGAGGCACAACCATGCTCACCCTCTGCCAGAAAGAGGCCTATGCTCTGCCCAACCAGGCATACACACCAGTGTTACTGCTGCTGTCTCTATCACCCACAGCATCCTGGTGAGCTGGGTGTGGCTGCTCCTTATGCCAATCTCTATGCCCCTCCTGCTCTCCAGTTCTTCTCAGGTTGTGACTATGGGACCCAGTGCAGGTCACCAAGTGCAAGCATGAGGTGTGGTCAGTAACCCCTCTTTGGCTGCTCTGGAGGTGAGCCCAGAGATAGGACTAGGAGTTACCTTCAAAGTGGGTGTGAGTGAGGCACAATTCTGCCCAGGATGGGCGCAGGGCCACCAGTGGCAATCAGTGATGGTGGCAGGGAGCCTGCAGCCCTCTTTACCTTGTGTCTTGTCTGCACGCTGACATCAGGCTGGCTTTTGGGGACAACATGCTTTGAATTGATGATGATGCAAGTTGAACCCTTGCACTTCCCAGCACTATGGCAGGGGCAATGGAGCACAGATTTGTAATCCTGGGGCATGTATTCATTTAGCAGAGATGGGGGCTCCACCAGCAAGGTGGTTTTGGGGTGGCTGGTTGGACGATAGTGTAAAGTAGGCAAGATCTTCCACTCTCTCCCTGGCACTGAGGTCCATGGGGCAGCCAGATGGTAAGCTGGGCAGAAAAAAGTGGAGGAGCAGGGGTTCAGGGATAGGAAGCACCTGAGATGGGACAGCAGAGTAAAGATGGCTGCAGCTCAGGGTGGGAGGATCAGTGGAATGAAGGAAGCCCTGAGGCCTCTGGACTTCCCTGCTCCGGTCTCCCAGCAGCCTCCCTGCTGAGCCATCCTTACAGCCTGTTCAGTCTTCCGTTCACTTCTCTGTGGGGAAGAAAGACATGTCATGTCAGAGCAGGCAGATATGTGCATGCGTGCGTGTGTGTGTGTGTGTGTGTGTGTGTGTGTTCTCTGACTGCCAGTATTATCTGGTATTGTAGTGACAAGTCAGTCCTTTGCAGATCATTACTGTCCCATTCAAAGAATTGTGTGGAATGATCAAGGAAAGTGAAAGTTTAACACTTAAGACAAAAATGAAGAAAAAGTGTTCATGAAGAAAAAATGTTGTACAGAATGAGGGTGAGGCAGTTAAAGCAGGAAACGAAATACACCATGCAACGTGTGGCAGGCTGGTGAAAGGCTCATGCAGCTGTGTTGTAGTGGCCACCATGTTTTATATCTTCTTTCTGGCATCAATCTAATCCCACCTATCAAAAACTCACGTGCTCTCATGTCATAAGATGATGTCAGGTGCAGGGCTCAGCTTGAACTATTGAAGCTCCCTGGCCAGAAGTGCTGCTATTAGCATTCACCGACTAACATTAGCTATAAGGCTCAGAGGTTGCTGCTCTACTCCTGTGACTGTGTGATTCGCCAGTTTTTGTAATTGACAGGTCCTCCCGAATTGCCCCAACCACTTTGCATCTCCTAATCACTTGCATGACCAGTACTGCCTCTCTTGCCCCTGGCCATCTCATGTCCTGGTTAAACCAGGTACAGAGAACCTGGGGTTTCCTTGCCTTCAGGTCTAAATATGGGGTACTCAAGGGGCTGAGTCTCAGGACAGTTCAGAACCAAGGCCTCCAGTCTGTTTAGATCCTGAGTGATGGCTGCTGCTAACCCGTGTCCCTGAGTAGCTGGGCTGCTGTCCCCTTCTATGGTCATGTGAGCTGAAACTACTGACAACTCTCCATAAGGAATGAACAAGGCCCAGGAGAAAGGAGAGGGTGGTACGTGTTAGCAAGACCTAAGAAATGGAGAGGATGCAGCCCAGGGCAGGAAAACCCAAGGAATGGGCAAAGTGGGGCAGAGGATGACAATACATAAGGTATGAGCAGAGGGTCCCTTTTTGTGGGTCAACAGTACAGTTTTGCATACACTGTCATCTCTGACCCTGTGGGCCCAGAATGGAGGGATGTGGAAGAGCCCTCACCCTGTACTCCCAGAGAGCACAAAATGCTGCATCTGTGGTATCCCACACCAGTCATTAGAGAGGTTCACCATGAATTTGAGAAAGGCTTGGCTAAATATTGATCTTAAGAGGAGGTGAAACTGCAGAAAAAAACCCTGTCTCAAAAAAAAGAAAGGAAACCAGGTGTGGTGGTGCACGCCTGTAATCCCAGCACTCGGGAGGCTGAGGCAGGAGGATCATTGCTAGTTCAAGGCCAGCCTGGGCTACAAAGTGAGTTCAAGGCCAGCCTGAACTGCATAGTGAGACCCTGTCTCAAAAAGACC